AATTTGTATCATTTTAAGGGGCACAAGTGCAGTTTTGCTACATGATATAGTGCTTAGTGGTGAAGTCTGAGCCCTTAGTGCAGCCATCACCCAAGTAGCTTACATTGTACTCATTAGGTAACTTCTCATTCCTCACCCCTCTTACCTCTCACCCTCTGAGTCTCCAGTGTCTGTTATTCCACACCCTCTGTCCACTTGTACACATTATTTAGCTTCCACTTGCAAATGAGAACATGCAATATTTGACTTTCTGTGTCTGTGTTATTTCACTTAAGGTAATGGACTCCAATTCCATCACTGTTGCTATAAAGGACGTGATTTCAATTCTTTTATTATTAAATAATATTCCATGGGGGGGCGTTTGTTGTGTGTATGTTTATGTAGATCACACTTTCTTTATCCAGTCATACTTTGGTTAATCCATGTTTTTGCTATTGTGAATAGTGAGGGCAACTGTCTTTTTGACGTATTGACTTCTTTTTCTTTGGTTAAATACCCCGCAGTGGGATCGCTGTATTGAATAGTAGTTCTATTTTTAGTTCTTTGAGAAGTCTCCATATGTTTTCCATAGAGGTTGTACTAATTTACATTCCCATCAACAGTGCATGAGTCTTTTTTTCCCTCCACATCCTCTCCAACATCTGCTATTTTTCAATTTTTTAATAATAGTCATTCTGGCTGGTGTAAGATGGTACCTCACGTGGTCTTTTTTTTTTTCCTCATGTGGTCTTAATCTGCATTTCCATGATGATTAGTGATGCTGATCATTTTTTTTTCATATGCTTCTTGGCCATTTGTATGTCTTCTTTTGAAAAATCTCTGTTCAAAAGTCCCAATTTTTAATAGGTTAGTTGTGTTTTATCAAGTCGAGTTCCTTATAGAGTCTATTTTTTTAAAATTGTGACTTGTAATTAAATTTTACACAAATACATTTTGCATTTATTGATACATATTTCACCTGATAATTCTATAAATGTGATAGAATTATAGTAATTTACCGTTCATTTTTAATATTTGATGGTTGTTGTCTTGGTTATAATTAAAATTAAGCCATCTTGTACTTAAAAGTCATATTTGTAATGTGATAGAATTAGAATTCTATTGACTTTAATTTTAATACCATTAAAATATAACTCTGTTACCATTTCTGTCAATTTAAACAAAATTTGATCATAGGATTCTCTAAATGAAAAAACCTTCAAAATTAACTGTTGTACCTTATCAGAACTTAATTATTCTTATTATTACTGATGTGTAAAATTGTGGTAAAATATGCATAACAAAATGTATCATCTTATTTTTAAGTTTATAGTTCATTGGCACAAGGTACATTTACATTATTGTCCAACCATCATCATCATCTCTCTGTAGAACTCTTTTTAGCTTGCAAAACTGAAACTTTGTACCCTGGACCCTGTATACTGATTCTCCTTTCCTCTCTTCCCCCAGTTTCTTAAAATCTCTATCTTACTTTCTGTTTCTATGAACTGCTCTAGGTATTTCATGTACTTGGAATTACTTAATATTTGTCCTTTATGACTGGCTTATTTCATTAGCCTAATGTCCTTAAGGTTCCTACGTGTTGTAGCATGTGTCAGAATTTCCTTCCTTTTTAAGGCTGTAATATTCCATTGTATGTATACACCACATTTTGTTTATTCATTCATCCGTGGATGGACATTTGGGTTACTCCAGCCTTTTGGCTATTGTGAATAATGCAGCTCTCAACATTGGTGTGCAAATTCTGTTCAAGTGTCTGCTTTCAATTCTTTTGAGTAAATACCCAGCAGAGGAATTGCTAGGTCATGTAGCATTCTATTTTAACTCTTTTGAGGAACTGCCATACCATTTTTTTTATAGTGGCTGCACAATTTTATCTTCCCACCAGCAGAGCCAGGGCTCCCATTTCCTCACATCCTCTTCAATACTTGTTATTTTCTGATTTTTTGAGAGTAGTCATACTAATGGGTATGAAGTGATATCTCACCGTGGTTTTCATGTGCATTTCTTTAATGCTTAATGGTATTGAACATCTTTTCTTCTGCCTATCGACTATTCATATATTATTGGAGAAATGTCTTTTCTAGTCTTTTGCCCATTTTTAAATTGGATTTTTTTGTTGTTGAGTTGTAGGAGTCTGATGTTAGGAATTAGGATATATAGGACTCTGGATAGTAACTCCTTATTAGATATATGATTTGTTCATACGTTCTTCCGGGGGGGGGGGGAGTTCCTTTTGGCTCTCTTGTGATTTTTGATGCACAGAAGGTTTTAATTTTAATGAAGTTCAATTTAGCTATTTTTACTATTGTTGTCTGTGATTTTGGCATCATATCCAAGAAACTACTGTTAAATGCCATGTCATGAAGCTTTAGCCTATGTTTTCTTCTAAGAGTTTTATAAAAATTTTACCTGCTGTTTTCTTTAATATAGTGTAACGTAAGGGTCCGAGTTCATTCTTTTGCATGTGGATATCCAGTTTTACTAACATTATTTGCTAAAAAGATAGTCTTTTCCCTATTGAATGATTTGGCATCCTTGTCAAAAATCATTTGAGTATTTATATTCTAATTCAAGGATTGATTTGGGGGATATCTGTTCTATTCCATTGGTCTGTTATGTCTATTTTATGCCAATCTCATACTTTTTGATTACTAAGGATTTGTAATAAGTTTTGAAATCAGGAAGAGTGAGACTTTCAAGTTTGTTATTTTTCGAAGTTGTTTTGGTTTTTTGGTGTCCCCTGAGATTCCATATGAATTTCAGCATAGATTTTTCTATTTCTGCAAAAAACCATATTGAGATTTTGAAACTACCATGGAACTTTTGAATTCTCTCTGAAATGAAACATTTGCCAGACAGATGAGGAGAAGGAAAGGGGACATTTGAACAAGAGGAAGAGCGTGATCAAAAACATGGAAAGATGAAAGAGCTTGGTATATTTGGGGAATTAAAAGTAACCTGGTATTTTTAAAGCATTAAGCACGTTTGTGTTTCTGTGTGCACATGTCTGCAACTTGGATAGGAGGCAAATTAGGAGCTAGATAAGGGTCAGATATTGTGGAAGTGGGCATATGTTGTGTTAAGAAGTTCAATGGGAATTCGTTAAAGTGCTGCGTTGTGAGGCGATGTGATAGCAGTTGTATTGTAGGAAGAAGACTGTTGGTGAGAGTGGGTGCTACAATTGAGCATGAAGAAGACGTCAGCAGCAAGATCCGGTAGAAGACTGTTGCAGAATTATCAGAAATGAAGTGATGAGACTTGTGCTATGTAGCGTTAGAGGAGACAGGCAGGAGGTAATGGATTTGAAATAGCCATGTCTCACTGCATGCTTGGAAATATTGCAATAGCTTCACTCTTTTCCTGGATCCTTAGGTCCTCAGACCTTCAGAATAACCTGTGAACTTAGAGTGGTCGTTCATTTATATCATCCACTTGTTACCTTTTAGGAACTCAAATAAATGGTTGCAACAGGAGGCCCTGGCTCAGAGGCTCTGGCCCACACGCTGGCTCAGAGGCTCAGGAATCCCTCAGTTGTGGTCAGCCCCTTCTCAGAGCCCCTGAAGCTCTCTCTCCTTGTTCTGCTACTTCCAAGGCCTCTCACTGCTCTAAGGACGTATGGTAGTTACTTCTCACCTGTGAGTTAGTCTTTTCTGTTGAGTGGGAGTGCTATTTTCTGTTGTAACCCATTCCATCCACCTTGTGGAATTGCAGCTCTTCAGGCCCTCTAAACGTGGCCTGTGTTACTGATGTCTATAATCCTCTGAAAGCCCGTTCTCTCTGGAGTACTAGATGGAGCCTTCTGCTTCTCTAGCTTTCCCTGACCTGACATTTCATTGTACCCTGTGACTCAGTTCCCTGTTCTTTGCTCACCATAATATTGAACACAAGTCAATGGAGTCTTCGCCACTTCTCTCCCCCTCATGCTCAGGAGCTCTCTGAGAAGCTTTTGCTGAGTGAGCTGGGCTGGGTCTGAGCTGCTAAGCTAGCTGGGGAGAGGAGCTGCTCCTCCAGCCAGGGGCTGAGTCACTGAACAGTGAGATCCCAGGGCCCTGTTCTGGCCCCTGGAGGGGTGATTCTGTGGGTGGACACTCTGTGGGCTGTGTGTGTGTGTTTGGCCCATCACAGCCACAGGTGGAGTCATGGAGTTGGGGGCAGGGAACAGGTTCAAGCTCCCAAATTCTGGTGGGTATTTTAAAACTGGAACCATTTTGGCAACTGTGGCACAGCCAGCACTGGCCCACTGCCAAGGACACACATTTGTGACCTAAAGGATGAGGCAAACTGATCAAGGTACACAAGTGTCGTCAGTACAGGCTCCGAGAAAGCAGAACAGGAGAGGAGAGGACTATGGCTTGGACACTACAGATTTAGACCTGACAGGCTACAAATAAGATTGCAGGGAGATTGCAATAAAGAGTACCAGGGAAGGTAAGAGAGGTTAAAGTGGGGAGATGGGAAAGAGCAAGAGGAAAGGCCAGGGAAATAAGGGATGCAAAGAGTTACTGCTTCCTTGAAAACCGATAGACTCATTTGAACAAGGAAGACAAGACCCCAGATCTTTGCAGCCTCTGGCTGGAGAGCTCACCGGCATTAGGAGACCGGCTCACTCTTCTTCTTGAGCCCGGGCTGTTTGGAACGTGGCTTCAGAAAAGCAGCACGCGTCTCATCACTTGCTTTGTATTCCCCAACAGAAGAGAAGAGAGGGAGTGTGGCCACGCTGACTCAGCCGAAGCATCTCCAGGAGGTCTTCTCTGGATGCCACATGAGGCTGCCCCTCAGCCACCCCACCGAGCCCACGGAGATGGCTTTGCTCAGCAACATCCTAGCAGCTTACTCCTTTGTCTCAGGTAGTTACCTGGTCTGGCTGGGGCAGGGCTGGGACCAGGGGCCGGAGCAGGGCTGTCCTGTGGCTGACTATCTCCCACCTTATACTCAGGAGAGAAACACTGTGTAATCAGAGTAAGGGCTCCACTCTGCAGGGGTTTGAGATGAAAGGTCTTCTGGTTTGGAGTTAAGCTTGGCATTCTCTAATTTGGCAAATGAAGGGTTCTAAGAGCTTTATCTTATTGAAAACGTTTGGTTTCCTTTCAGCTCAAGTGAGTGAGTGAAGTAGCCTGGGGCTGCTGTTGGCTCTGTCACTACACATTAGCTCTGAGGAGGGGAGGGGCTGATGGAGCACCTCAGCCTGGTTGCTTCTATGCAGTTCTCAACCTCCCATGGGCTGCCCATGTGTGAGTGTGTGTGTGTGTGTGTGTGTGTGTGTGTTTTCTCTGCTTCAGGAGCTCTCTGAGGTGTTTGATACCTTGCAGGAGAGAAATGGTGGCACAGGGCACCTGCATCTAGGGGAGTCTAATATTAGTCCCTTCTTTGGTTCAAAGTTGGACTCTGTAGGAAGATGGCTGACTTTCTCTTCAAGATCATTTCTAAAACAGATGCTGTACATATAAAACGAGCCATTTAAAAATACATGAAAATGCTCAGTGGTTTGAATGATCAAACTGCTTCCCTGTTGCTTGAGTGAGTTATAAATTATTTGATACATTGCTTTTTTTGGTTTTGTTTTGTTTTGCCTGATATCTCTAGATGTTACATAAAAAGGAAAGGACTGTTAGATTAATTTTGGACAAGGATGGGTTTTACTTTTTAGTTTTCTAGGCAGGGGTGATATGTGGTGAATTAAGAGTTCAAATGCAAAACCTGACACTTCTATTTACAATGGCAAATCTAAGCCAAGATTGAGGGTCCCTTGAGCCAAGGAAATTCATGGCTTCTTTTCGTGAGAAGATTTTTGGATGATTTGCAACCTAATTTCAGAAAGAATGACGTGTCTGCGCTTCCCCAGCTGGCTCCTTGGTGGTTGGCAAGATGCAGCATGTAAGGTGTGTGCGCCTCAAGTCCAGGACTCTGCCTTGGATCAGGGAAGTCCTAGGTCTTCGGTCAGCTCCTCACCTCCTTAAGGAAGTCTAGAGGCCTCCTTTGTGGGTACCCGTGCATCAGAGGAATCTCACCTTTGCTCTTTCTTCAAGTCTATCTTGTGGAGAAAGGATAGTAGAGCTAGACAAGAGATGTGTGAAACTCTGTCATCATGTTTTCCCAAGTGATCAAATGCTGATTCCTTCACTTGGTAGTGAAGATATACCCCAAACGAAGTAGGGATGGCAGAAAGGGTCTGGAGTTTCCAAGATCTCAAAGGACACCTACAAATCAGCAGTTGCAAGAAAATACCTCGGGTAAAAGCCAACAGAGTACTGGACTTTGGAGCTCTGCTCAGCACAGGAGTGTCTGGCAGTTTTCCATGTCAGCCAGCATGACCCTGAGTGTGGCCATTGAAAGTGGTAACTCATTGAATGGTCTCTATTGACCATGTGTCTTGTGATCTTGTCAAGTTTAAAAGGGCACATGGTCTCTCTTTTTCCTCTCCTCTAAACTTCCTCCTTCCTACCCCATTCTCTTGACTTAACTTGAAATGAAGGAAGACAGTGCTACTTTTAAATAAGTATGAACGGAAAGAAAGAAAGAAAGAAAGGAAAGAAAGGAAAGAAAGGAAGAAAGAGAGAGAGAGAGAAAGAAAGAAAGAAAGAAATGTTTGTGTGTGTGTGTAAATGGAAAGTGGAGTGGCTAAAGTAAAATTTATTAGATCCAGTAAATAGACTTGATGACTGAAAATTGATTCTGAAATTAGGAACATTCCCTGATGAATAAAGAAAATTTAAAATAGGAATGTGAATGTAACAGATAGAAATAACCATTGTTTTGAGAAGAAAATCAAATAAATGGATTAGAAGCAATAATGAAAAGTATGATAGGAGAAAATTATGGAAAATGTCCTAAACTTACAGCTCTCTCCTGTTCTCCTTTTGTTATATCTGATCTTCAACTCCATGGGGCCCCAACCCCCTCCTGTTTTCTCTCAGTGCCGCTTATCTTGATCCATGTGGTCCATTATTTCAGCAATACACTAACACATTTACTAACACACAAATGCCTTATTTGGTCCAGCTTCTGAGAAAACAATAGGGGAAACCCTACCTTCTGAGTGCATTGTGTACCCTATTCAATTTCTCTGTGTGTGTTCTTGTGTGGGGGGGGGCGTCTGAAATGGGAGAGGTGGAGGTAAAAGTGTGTGTCTGGGAGAGTCTCATTTTCCCCCCATCTTGGTTCAAAGTTGGAGTCTATAGGAAGATGGCTGATGTTCTTCTCAAGAACATTTCTTAAAAACAGATGTCGTTCATATAAAAGGAGCCATGTAAAAGCACAGGAAAATGCTCAATGGTTTAAATGTTCAAACTGCTTCTTTGCTGTTTGAGTGAGTTTTTAATTTTTTGATACTCTGCTTTTCTTTTCACCTGATGTCTCTGTATGTTATATAAAAAGGAGGGGACTAAGTTGCCCATTAGGTTTCCTTTGGGCAAGGACTAGTTTTTTTTTTTTTTTTTTTCACATATCAACTTTCACAGGGTTGATCCGGGATGACTTAAGAATCCCTCTGCACCTAAGTTACCAAGTGCTTCTCCGGTTTGCAGTTTGAAGTTACTCAAAATGTATGGTTTCCAATATCAGCTAAGCCTTTTACATAGTGATTTAATCATCTTTCTCTTTGCTTCTAGATACATCTTGTACTCATTCTTTACAACAGCCATTTCAAACCTTGATTGTTTCAATAATTTAAAATATCTGCTTACCAAAATAGGCCCTAAAAGTAAATTACAAGTGACAAATTAAGAAAAAAAGAGTAGCATTAATGAAAAAGCATTGAAGTCTTTAACATATAAAGAGCCCTTACAAATCAATAAAAATGTCCCAAAAGAAAAATTGCCAAAGGACAAGAATTAGCAGTTTGCAAAAGAAAAAAAATGTAAATTATTAATAAAACATAAAGAGCTCAAATTCTAGCAAATACAAAATGGAAACATCAATGAGATTAATATTTTTATTTTAGAAACTTCTCAAAGATTTGAGTGATTATGTGTATAACTTTAAGTCTTGGAAAAAGTGTGGGGATATAAGTATTTGCATATAGTGCTGCTGGAATTGTGAATTGCTACAACACTCTAAACAGTGATGTGGCCATATGCCTCAAAAGCATTAAAAAACTAGCTAGAAATCTCACTTCTAGGAACTTCTCTTAACGGAATAATTAGGGATTATTAGCAGAAATTTTACTATGAAGGTAATTCATCTCAAAACCATTTATAATACAGGCAATAAACAAATTAGAAAAAATGGTGAATATTAGTTGAAATAGAAAGGTGTTTATGATATGATGTTGGGTGAATAAAGCCTTTTACCACACACCATAAACATTATATTCCCACTTATGTGTTTATACTCATATATATAG